AAAGGTAAATATTAACGGGAATTTTGTTTTTTTAAAGTTCAAATATAGTATGCCACGATACAAGCCACGACTTTTCTGCGTTTACAGAGTTTAAAAAATGTGTTTTTGTTACTATAAATATCCAAATAATGACATTTTTAGGACTTTGAGTGACTATAATTTTAGAGGGAGGAGACGAGTAAAAATTTTCTTCAACGGAAATAAATTTCGAAAAATAAATATAAAAAAGGAAAAATCTATATACTTATAAAATTTCAGCTTTCAATCTTTAAAGATGTAGAAGTGTTCTAAACATGTTGACGGACGAATGAACGAAGTGAAACCAATAAGCACTAAGAACAAGTTCTAAAAACAAAAATAATATGCTATTAAACATGTGTGTTTTTAATTAAATCGATTTTTTTAACCCTGGATCTTTCACCACATTGCTATTATTTTGCACGCTGCTGTACATGTATGTATGTATATTTTTGCAAAAACAAACAAAAAAATTTTACCTTAAACTATTCAAATATGTAAATTCAGATAAATATATATAATATTAAATTAGTTTGAATATAAATTATTGTTTTATTCGTAGAAATAAAATCAAATTTTATTCCATAAATGCCTACATTGCAATTTATTAATATACTTAATAATGTACACATATGTATTACTAAACGAGATGAACAGCGTGAAAAAAAATTGCAATATATCGGATTTTTTCATCCTTGTGTTGACACCCAATTCTATATAATTATTTCGTAAACCCTACACTCCTAAATAAACATAAAACTTTTTTTGAGAACATTTTAATATAGTATGTGGAAGTGGACATGTTGCTTGATAGTAAAAAAGATTGATTTAAAATAAAATGGATACCTTAATAGGCCAACGGCGATAATAAGCAATTAAATACTGGAGCAGGACAATTACTTTCACAACTCATTCAATTCAATAAAGTTTTTCTTCATTTTGAAATGAAGTTTCCCTTGATTTTGAAATAAGTTACTTGGTTTGATTACTAGTTTCATATTTGCAAAAAATCGTATTGATTGTAGCTTTGCATATAAAATGTGTGAAACACATTATGATTACCCAGGTATCTTGGGTATAAAAAATAAGTGATATATATGCAATTCAAATCACTTTAAACGAAATATTAATTGCATACACCTATGTATTTTTGTTTTTTTTCTGTTCAATATTTGGGAACTTACGGAAAATTTCAGGTTTTTAAGAGCTGGTTAAGGTATTAAAATTAATCTTACATATTGAAAAACATACTGGGGCCTGTGGATGTTTATTAAAGGGCAAAACGAAAACGCGAGATGGTGAAGCATCCCCTGCAAGTAAGTGAGATAGAAAATTGATGGTGATATACTAAAATATGTGTTTTGCTATTTGTTTTGTAACAAAATTGGGCTCGTGTTTGAAATAGTGTTTTTAGCAATAGGTCAAAAAATTGAAATTACATAGACATGAAATGAGAAACTTTTAAGACTATAAAGATTGACGTGGGAAAGGCCAAACGAATAGCGATTCACATGCACGTGCAAAAAACAATAAAAGATATACATGTGTATAATAATATATTGAAACATAACATGCACTTACACATATACGCATTCGAAAGTCTATAACTCATATTTTAATACACTTTATATTTGAAATTGAAATGAAAAATCTAAAGAAATTATGAGTTTTTTCATTTAAAAATGCGCATGCTTCATTTGAAGTGTGGTGAATAAACTTTTAAGTTAAGGATAAGGAAACTTTCAATATTGCATGAAATTAGCTCACATACTCACATGCTTTTGTAGATACAGTATAAAAAATATTGTATAATAAAAACATAAAATTAAATTGAAATAGTTTTTTTTTATTTTTATTATATAAATTGTTGACGAGGGGAAAGCATAAATGTTCGGATGGTAAATACATTTTTGGAAATTATAAATTTTTTTTAATTTCTGTTTTTTTTTTTATACTTTTGATTGTTTTTTATTTTTTACTGGATAGAACGCAAGTATTGTTAACATATTAATATTGGCATAAACATACATACATATGTATGTACATGCCTATATAAAAAAAACAACGAGTTCAATAAATACTGCACTAGATTTTATTGAATAATAAACAATATTTAAAAAAATAAATAAAATCACTTTAATATTAAATTTACAATGTTTTTATAAAGTTTGAATAAGAGGCAGTAAAGCAGGAAGGATATTTTGTCATAAAATTATATGAGTTTGATTAATTTTGAATATAAAAAATGGAGAAATATCAAAAGTTAAACCGATAAATAATAAAAAACAGGTGAAACAGTTTACAAAAAATATGTGCTAATGAAAAAACAAATATTGTTAATGATTATTGTTACGAGTATTAAGTAAGTCTTAATGTTTTAAAAGTTTGTATACGTCTGTGTACATCACAATTTCATTAATTTTGTAAATGGAATTTCATTAATTTTATACAGCATATCAATGCAATTATATATGTACTATTTTATAAGTGATTAGTATTGGACAATTAAAAAATATCTGTTTTCCTTTTAAACGTACTGAAATTTTGATTTGAGCTTGTTTAATGTAATATATTGAAAGAAAATTAATAAACTTAAACTCAATATATAAATTACATTGTGTGAATTTTCAATTCACAAATTATCATTCGCCTTTACAATATTGAAAATAATAATTTTAGGTTGTTACTCGGACTGCATAAACTTATGTGACCGTTCTCTTTTCACTTAATTTATACTTTATTGGGTTCTTATTTCTTTTTTTAGCTACGATTAAGATTGTTGCTTGTAAATGTTTTTATCGTTTTAAAAAAATATTTTATAGACATTCTGAGTCTTTAATATAATACTCGTATATAAACTTTTACTTAAAAAACTTTAAATTTTCTTTAACGTATTGTTTAAGAAATATGTAGATGGAAATTTAAATGAGAAACAAAAGTATATGTATATGTATTAAAGGCCACATTCGAATGTCAGACTCACGAACAAATTTTGCAATTAAAAAATGATTCCCTTTAAAAAATTAAAGACTTTATTAAAATTTACAAATTTATTCCAGTATGCACATTTTTTCAAAAAAAAACTTAATTTTATAATCCATAGTATATTTACAGGGAGATGATAATTTTGATAAAATTTTAATAAATAAAAGTGGAAAAGAAACAAAGTTCTTTTAAGTTTCTTTTAAGTTAAGCATTTCATATTTTACTACTAAATGAAAGCTTATAAAAGCACAATAATAATATAATATTGCGTTATTTGTAATTAATCAAAACACATATTAAAACAATTTAATTTCAAAAAGCGATTTCACACTTATCTAGAAAATCATTAAAACCTTTTTCATGTACTCTTCTTCATCTCTTACAACATAATTTTTACCGACCGTATTGTGTATACAATAGGTAGGTTATGTGATGGCAACAAATTTTGCATATCGAGTTTTCGGTGGGAATGCACTTTTCCATGGCAGGGAAGTGTAAATAAACTACTTATAGCAATCTGTCGGTCTGTCGGTTTGTGTGTGCACGCGTGTATCCGTGACTTCAATAATGCTTTATACAATTTTAAGTACGGTATTAATACGATTGCATTACTGTCTCAGAGCTTTCAATACCTTTACATTGTACAAAAAACTGCTATAGCTTTAGATACATTTAGGAATAAAGCTCTGTGCAAATGGTAATTTTTAAAAAAAGTTACCACTTCATTAAAAACATAGCATTTTTATGCTGCGTTTTGGGAAAACACTTAATGACTAGCATTTTATTGCTGAAAATATATGCTACTTTATTTAGTTGGTTATTTCTGGCAATATTTATATGGCATGTATAAAAAAAGCGTGTTTTATTACATTTATTTTACGTATCCACTGCGTATAAAGCGCATTTAGAAATTTTATACATATGTAAGTTTATTTCAACCATGACACGGACTGATCTTTTGGGATATATCAGACCGCGGGAACTACATTTTTAGCGGGCCTGAAGCACAAAGCGAAACTCCACTAAGAGCCAAATTTACATTTTTCTAGCTATGTTAACTATAAGCTTACTAATGTCCTAAAAATTGGAAAGAAATCTTTAACAGAGATTTTTATAATATTCTGTAACACTTTCACTTAACTAGACAATACACATTACGATCGGTTAAGTGCTGACCACATGTGCTGATCAGATGTTTTTATATTTTATATTAAAGTTTATATTCCCTCTTCACATATACCCAGCAGCGTTATTTAGTGTAACCAATGATTGTTTTGAATTATTTTACAACAGTATATACAAATATGATAAGTAAAAATGAAATTTTGTTTATACATGAAACAATAAAAATCAAAAATGTATCCGCTAAGGTTTTAATTTTGAAATAAATAAACATACCTTTTTATTTGAATTTTTTTTAGAAAAAATAGGATGTTTTACAACATACAATATAAATAAGTTTATAAAGTTCTGCGTTTAAAAAGTTAAAATCTTTGGGCTTACATTTATTATTTTGTATTGCCTTTGATTTTGCATTCCCATCGTTTTTAATTTCTTCTTTGGCATTCGTCGAAAATATCAAAAATTATTCCTTTTGTGAATGAACAGGTTAAAATGAATCTAACGTTACAAAAATGAATCCACTTGCAATGTATTTTCGTAAATATATATACATGTAAAAAATTGATTGTTAATGAATTACACCTATGTATGTGATTCTATTTTAATAGTCTATTTAGCTTATACAAATTAGTTTTGTCTACATATTCTCATTCATTCTGCTTTTTCCTATTGGCGGAATCAAAAAATGAGAATTCATCTACTTAAATCAATATAAATTTAATTAACGTTTAGTTTTCATCATTCTATCATTAACCTACTTACAAATAAGATAGCATGAGCAATTTAACAAATCATTTACATTTCCTCAATTTTAATAATTTACACTCTTATTTTGTTTAATTATACATAAAAAATAATAAGTACGATTAACTTACCTGCTTCATCGGAATTTCCAAAATGTAAAAGAATACTCAGTATGATAATTTCCAAATTAATCCACATTGCGTTAAATATATGTACGACTGAGTTTTGTAATAAGTAATCCAATGATATTTAAATGCAGAAACGGAACTTATTCCTATTAACACTTAAATTTACACAGTTAACCAATTTTGTTACTTAATGTTTTTTTCTATAAGTGTAATATTTGCATAATATTTATTTTAATATTTATTATAAAAAGATAATATAAAAAATGAATACGCTAATTAGATTTCTTAATTAAAAAAATATTTATTTTTACATTAATGTATGTAGTTAAAATTTTAGTATTGAAATTTTTACTTTACTTTATTTTTAAAATTAATAAAATTAATCATAAATATGTATTGGTATTATATAATACTGCATGAATTTGTAACAATAACCCACTATGTTAGCTAAAAAGCAAAATAAAATTTAACAAAAATTTTGCAATTTAAAAAAAAAAAAAAGATATTGAATTGAAAGCGATTTTTAAATAAAAATAAACTACGTTTGCGAGCGTTACGTTAAGACTAAATTATACTAAAAGTACTCGAATCCAAAACTATCAAAGAAATTTTAAAGAAAAATATGATTAAAACAAAAAACAACAAATAAACTTAAAAAAAAAAATTCAGCAAAACACGAATTAAAATGTTCCGTCAGCTCACGTTATCACATTTGAAAGAGAGAGTTACATATTTTACAAATACTGCTATTACAGATAAAAATACCATAATAAAATGGCACCCCACCAAAGTTTGGGTATTTATACTTACTTATACGAGTAATTTTTTGAATTTTTTCATTTATTTTTTCTTATCACAATATCTGTACAGATATACTCGTATATATTTTTACTTATAAATGGAAATACCTAAACAACATAAATAAAAAAAAATTTAATTTTTATATTTTATTTATTTAAATTAAAGTTATACTAAAGTTTATGACAGAGCTTTCGCATTTATAAAATTATTTTCAGAATTGTCTTTAGTAACTTATGCTGCAATCTATGCATCAAACAAGCTCCAACACTTGTTTTAATTACTTTTTTGGATTACCAATATTTTATAATTGTATGTACATATGTAATTGCATTTTATATCGTTTACTTATATTACTTACAAAAGTTGCCTTGCTTTTTAAATGGGTGACATTAATTATTTTATTTTTTACCAACCGTTTGTAATCAGACAAATTTTTTGTCTTTTCATATTAAACTGTTGAAATTCAGATTAACGATAAGTTATCAATATAATATTAGCAAAATATTTGAAAATGTAAAAAATATTATAATGAAATATTTATTATAATATTTAAAAATATATGTATTCATGAAGCCACTACATACTGTAAGTATGGTACTCCTTTAATTAACAAATACTTTCAAGAATGGGGTTGTGTTTTGTAAATATTCTAATAATTATTTTGATACGCCAAATTTCATGTATTCTGAGTATATACACATATGGATACATAGTTGAAATATTTTTGATCAGACATTTGTTTTACAATTTTTTACAATAAATGATAATGATGTTGTTCTTTAAAGATTAGCTTATTAAAAATGTGTTAATGCACAAACACAGTTGAGTTTTTATATAGCGATCATCTACTGACAGCGAAATTATTTTTTTCGACCACATTGCATACAGTAACTGAGATTATGTGATGACACCAAATATCATAAATGTGAAGTGTTCGGCTAGAGTTTGTTGCTCCATGCTATTTGTCGGTCTGTACAGATCAGTGTGAGGTGACTTTACGGATATGTCAATTCCCGGAAACTAAACTAGGCCGATTTTACATTTTTAATTGTTTTTTCAGAAGATATTAAACCGATTAGCTTCAAATTTTATTTATAATTTTTACTTAACAGTGCAAGAAACCACACAACTTTCAGAAGAAATCACTAGTTATCAACTGAACTCTTACTACGGGCCAAATTTACATTTTTTCGCGTAAAAAGCGAAATAATTAACGAATTCCCTTGAAGTTTTATATTTGTATTCAGGGTTTTAAAACAATAAAATTATCAATTCCTTAGATTCGGGAACTGAATTTTTAATATAGGGGCCGATTTTACGTTTTTTACCATGTCTAAGAAACTGTTTGACGGCATTTCTTGAAATTTGTTATTCGGGTTTTGTTTGGTACCGAAAGTAACTGACCAACTTTTCAAAAAATTTGGACTGCATAAGAGGTACCTTTACTAGGAGCCAAAATTTCGGTGTTCTATATATATTATAAAATTTAAAAAAAAGTATTTAAAAGGCATTCTAATAATCTTGCACAGCATTGTTGTTAAACTAGACAATACACTTTGCGATCAGTTATGTACTGACTACATCAGAGTTTTTTGTTTTGTTGTCTGAAGAAAACACTAAAAAGCTAAAGAAAACTTTGCAAAGTTAAAAAGTTAGTAGTGTTTCAACACAATAATTCTTTATTTAATACTGTAACGGGTGGAAATACAGAATTTGATTTAGAATTATGCTTAGTTTGTGAAAAAGTTTTTCTAAGTTTTGCTTTTTTATGTTTGTTTAAATTTTAAACAAATATTTCATGAAATAAACTATTTCAAAGTTGAACTATAAATTTTGAAAATCTTCAAAATCAAATCAGCATTTTTCTGCATCTGAATTTTCTCTGATAAATAAAATTAGGCTTGTATTCAAAGAAGGTTCATTATCTCTCTTCAATATGCTATTATGGTTTGTATTGCAATTAAGACCCCTAGCGAGGGGCATTCAGTAACCTTAAGAGCGACCAAATTCGAATTCTGCTGCAGAAAACTGCATTGCGAATGTGTATAAATTTATCATCTTTCGAAACATATTATGTTGTATTACAACATTTATAAAATGGAGTTAAATTACGTGTTACATGAAGTTCTTAAGAAAAGACACTAGATCAAGTTTGTCTTGTAAGATAAAAAAAAACTGTGAACTTAAAAAAAAAAATATTTTAAATCTTGAAAATTTAAAATATCTTTTGCATCAAAATTAAAAATTTGCTACTCACGATGAAGTTGATATCGATAAACTTCTTTCTATAGCAATGGTTAGATACCTATTTGTTTTCTTTTTAGCGATCGCAAATGCTGCGCATCGGCTCTTTATTTTTTTTTGTCATTTCTCTATAACCATTTGCTTTACATGCCTCATTTTTTTCATATATCTGCTTGTTTGATTACATAAACTTATTGATCTCGGAAGTGATTTTTGAAGCAAAATAAATGGGTATATGCACACATATATCTACATGTATATATGCACACATATATATCACAAATAGCGATATTGTTTGTAAATATAATTTTAACTTTTGCTTAAACATTATGTATACTTGTATACTATATGTATGTAGGTAATTATATGAGCATGAGAGTAATGTACATTTATTATGTGCCTACATACATATACATATATATGCATACATATGCTTAAATTAGAGTGAATACACATATTAGGAGTTATAAATATTTGCAATCGTTATATTTAAGTGAGTAGTAAATGATTTTTATAGAAGATATTTTTGTAATTTCTTTCAATTGAATCACCTTTATATTTTTTTATTTCATTTTATAATTTTTGCAGGTGGAGATAAACTGGAAGAAAGTTTTTGATCTGGTTTTCATTAATTTTAAAAATTTATTTAAAAAAACGGGATGGGAACAAAGAGTTGAGGAAAAGCAATTTACGTCATAAATATCAAGAGAGGAGAATGTAGAGACTGTAAAACAAAAATTTTAAGCAGATGAAAATGAAAATCAAACTGGATTTTTTGTCATTTTTTTTTTTGCAATAAAACTAAACTGTAAACTAAAGAAACGGTAAATTTTACTTGAATGTGAAAGATACATGTACTTCTTGTTACATTATGTAACGGTAAGGTATGATGGGATTGCATTACATTTAATTGATTGTATTTAATAATCAATTTATTTTTTTCCAGTTTGCCTTGAATGAAATTACAATGTAGAATGCATTTTATGGGCAAGTTTATAAATAATTATCGTGAGTACTAATTATGTAATCTCCATTTCCATTTCGTTATATTTTTGTGAAATACAAATTTCGCTTATATTCGATTATATTGCAAGTTAAAGAATAAAAACTTAAAAAAAACTCTTCTTAACATACATAATTCGCCCGGGCAAGAAAGTTATTTTTTGTTTTTTCGTTAAAAATTTAATTATAGTATGTGACCCCAACGACTATGTGATATATGATATATTATTGTGGTGGATCATTTGAAAATCTATATTTTGATGATAAAAAATATTTGAATGAATATTTTTGTGACTTGCACTTTTTCATATGCGCATATTATTATAATTAAACCACAAAATGTTAAACAAACTTAATCAGTTTTCAATGTTAAAATAAAATCATCTGTTTAAAACTTGACCTCCTTAAATTTTTACACATATTCTGCATGTTCATTACATTACTTTGCGTTAAAAATTCATACATAATGTTATAGCAAATAATTTGATCTTTTAAGTTTTGTAATTATACATGTAGAGCTACATTATGTATGTATACCAAATTTTTTTGATTTTTTGACCTTGGTGACTATTAAATTATTATAAAATTGAAAAATATATATAACAAATAGATACAAACATACATATGTATGTATATGTACTTTATGAAAATGATTTTTTTTTTTTAATTTTTATTTTAATTTATGATTTTTAAAGATGTTAATTATCTTTTCTTCTAATAATATCTTAATATATAATATTGAAGGTATTTGTACAGCGTTTGGTTTTTGAATGTACTTAGCCAAAAACAAAAAAATTGCTGTAATTTGCACATAAATAGTTGAATCAATGTATTTTTACATTTTGACTGGAACATTAATGATCCAAAGAAAACAGATCTAAAGTTATGGCTTAACGAAAACATTCTTCGTTAATTTGTATATGTAATATTAATAATTTAAAAGTATTGTTCAAATTTTAATTTAAAAAAAAGTACATTTATTGCCATATTTTTAATTACCAAAAAATCTGAAATTTTGATAAAAGTTTATACTTTTTAAAACATATACATACGTATAGGCGTTTTTCTATAACGTATATAAGTATGTATGTTTCTTAGTAATGACACATATGTATATATTATAGAAAATTTAAAGTGTTTAAAAATTTGTTTTTGAAATATTTAGAATTAACTTTGTTTGCTAAATGGCAATTACTCGAATCTGTCAAATTATTCAATAGAAACTTCACGGATGTTATGTCTAGCGCGCAAGTGACACACGACAGCCAAGTTTCGTGAACACAATTTTAATATTTTTTCAAATATTTAAAATTAACTTTCGGAGTTGTATGACAGCTACCCGAACCATCTAACATGAAAAAAAATTTCATCTAACGAAATGAAGCATTTATTAGTGTCTAAAAGCTCCTAAAATTTCAGGCTTCTATAGGCTGGTCTAGAAGAAAAACGACATCAAAAATTTGGAAAAAACGGACTTTAGATAACGGTAAATTTGAACGGCCATTTTGTTTTTCTAAAGTTAACCTGTAGTATACCGCGCTAGGGGAAGCAAGCCACTGTCTTTCTGCGCTTGCAAAATTTGAAAAATGCTTATGGTTTGACTGCACTAAATAGTTAAAAAATGGTATTTTTAGGGTTTTGGGGGGTTATAACTTCTAAAGAGAGGGAGATAGATAAAAATTTTGTTCTACGGAAATAAGTTTGTAGTAAAGATCTATGCATGTATTAAATTTCAGCTTTCTATCTTCAAGGGTGTAGAAGTTTTGTAAACAGACACACGCCCAGACGGACGGACGGATGGACGGACAGAGTGAAACTAATAAGCACTTTTTTTCAAAAAATTTTTCGAAAAGTGCTAAAAATTATGAATATACCTTGTATGGGCACAAAAACATATTTCATGTAAGTAGGCCTTAGGTATTCATTGTGATACTACATACCAATACATATACATATATTACGTATACTACATACCAATATTGCAAAATATGTAATAATTTTTTAAATAATCCTCAAAAACAATACAAAATAATTTTATCTACTTAACTTACATATGTAATTGATTTAGCTTATTATATTTAATTTAAAGCTGTAAGAAATTACTGGGCACACTACATAAAATTTCTAAATTTTCATTTTCCAACCCTATTTTTATCTACATATACACTCGCGTAGAAATAAGCATCAACTCAAAACTTAACCTATATTTCAGTCAGCTATTATTTTTGGAAGAAGAATGTTGTTTGTTGTTTACGCGTTAAAAAACGAATAATAAAAAATTATAAAAACATATTTTTAATATTTCATTTCCTACCGGATTTTAATAACATGGTGTGTCATATAGAAAATCTTCGACATATTTTCCAAAAAGGTGTTAATTCTGTACAACCATTATCGCTTTTTACTCAAAGTAAAATAATAAACAAGATTAATTCCGATGTGATAACAATTAACAACAACAAAATAGATTTGACAAATAAGAAATGTCATTTAGTTGGTTTTGGAAAAGCTGTTCTCGGTATGGCAGTTCAAGTGGAGCGTGTCTTGGGTAAAAATTTAAAAACTGGTATATTAAGTATACCAGTTGGCGTTCAAGATACATTCAAAAATAATCAAAATATGCAATTAAAAAATGATTCTGTTATAAAAATATATGAAGGTGCTAAAAATAATCTACCAGATGAAAAATCTTTAAAGGCAGCAAAAGAAATATTTTCCTTAGCCAGTTCCATGTCATCTGATGATATTTTATTTGTCCTAGTTTCTGGTGGTGGATCAGCATTATTACCATTACCGATTGAGCCTTTACAATTAAATTCAAAATTGGAAATTATAAGGAAATTATCGAATGCAGGTGCTACTATTGAAGAATTAAATACAGTAAGAATTTGTATGTCAAAAACAAAAGGTGGAAAACTAGCTATGGCCGCTAAAAATTCTAATTCAATATATTCCTTTGTTATAAGCGATATAATAGGTGATCCAATAGATTTAATTGCAAGTGGACCAACAGTTCAATATAAAACTAGCAAAAATCAATTAAGCGCAAAAAGTATTTTGGAACAGTTTAACATTTGGAACAGTTTATCAGAGGATGTGAAATTGATTTTTGAAAATAAATCTAAAAATGAAATGAATGATATATTTCCGAAAAACAGTCATGTTTTTATAATAGGCAGCAATCGAATTGCTGTAAAAGCATGTGAATCCGCATGTAAAGAACTTTCCTACATACCTTTTCTTCTATCAACATCAATTAAAGGAAATGTTGAAAGTGTATGTGAAAAATACATAAATTTCTTACAAAATCTAGTACTTTTTAAACAAAACTCGTTAAGCAGTGAAAAATTTAAAAAATTGTTTTTGGATGATTTTCAATATTCTGAAAATTTTCATGAATTAATAGTATCCACAAAAAATTTGAGCCCATTTTTATTAATTTTAGCTGGCGAACCATCTGTTAAAATCACGGGTAATGGACTTGGCGGACGTAATCAAGAACTTGCTTTACGAATTTCGTTAGAACTCTATAAAAATAACATTTTACACAATATTTTCGTTTTATGCGCTGGAACAGATGGAATTGATGGACCAACATCAGCAGCTGGAGCAATTGGTAATGTTGAAGTTATAGAAGATTACTTAAAAGATAATAAAAAAACAATTAAAGATATTGAAAACGTGTACATACAAAATAATGATTCGTTTAATTTTTACAAAAACCTGCGTAATGGTAAATATCATATTAATATCGGGCACACCGGAACAAATGTCATGGATTTGCATTTGGTAGCTATAGATTGGAGTTCAAAATCATAAAAGCTAATCTATTATAAGCCACAGTCACAGTTTTCGAAACAAAAACTTTCAGAAATTGAAAAAGGTTGTAGTATATTTTATCAAAAAGTTTTATGTTCTCAAAATAAATTTAATCCATATAATTATTTAAAGTTTAATAAATGATTAAATTCAAAAAAAAAGCGAAAAAAAATACAAGTTGCAAAAATATTTTTTTTGGTAATAACAGCGCTCATAATCAAATATTTTTTTGACAGCGCTCACAATCAAATATTATTTTTTTTATAGAGATAAGTATGTATGTCGGGCCACTTATTTCTTAGAGGAAAACATTTAAAATTTAAAAAAACTAAAATCTATAACAAAACAAAATATTGTAGTATTATTTTAAATTTTTTTATTTAATTGGCTTTTTCTTTTTTGTTTTTCAAAATTCAAGTTTTTTTCTCTAATTATATACAAATACAAAAACAATTTGGCAAGAAAAAGTTACAATTTGACGGCCTACTTGTGCGTACTTTATTACGTAAGAGAATATATTTTCGTTGAAACATTTTATGCACAAAAGTTCTGCTATTCCTTACGAAACCACTTCTACGATTCTTGGAGAAAGCAATAAAATTCAACTTTAAAATGAACATGCATGAACATGATTAGTTTCCCCAATTATTGTGAATTTGAAGCTTTTGATATTTGTTATACACAATTAAAATTAAAAATCAAAAATTTTATAGATTTCGAAAATATTTAATTTTGTTTACGAAATTACTTTCATAGTTGTCACTCTAAAAAGAAGTTTACGAATTTCATAGATGTCAGTACTTACGTAGCAATCATTCAAATTAGTCATTTTTGAATTTTATGAAAAGTATTTTTCTTTGACATAGATGTCTCTGTTCGGCAATTTTAATTTTTTTACATCGTCAATTTCACCACACTGTGTGAAAAATTTAACTCTTGTTAAAATATTTACCAAATTTTGTTTTCACCAAAAAATATTTTTCTGTAGGTTTGAGATGAACAAGGTTTGTGTCCTGGATTTTTGTTTAATTGCAAAATTATACAACACTGATATTTTTTCAAACAGTTAAGTTTCAAATATTTTCAGCAGATGGCTCCCAACTCATCATTAATTATTTTTAGTATTAAAAAAAAACAATTTCGTTAAGTTTCGTTGATGAGTAAATAATTTTTTTTGGAAACAATTATTTGATTTTTTAGTTTGAAAACAAAAATAATAATATTTATTGTTAAAATTAAGGAATTTTTAATTTTACTTGATTTACTAATCTTTATTGTAACTTAATGTAAAAACCATTATCTAAATTACTGTTATAATAATATATAAAATTTTAATTTTGCTAGCATTTTCAATTAAATGAAAATGAATGATTATACTTAAAATAGCAGTTTATTTTAAAATTGGAAACATTATTCAAAAAATTCAAACTATATAACAAAAAAATTTTACAATATTTTGAAAAAAAAAAAAATGGTTTCCGTATTTCATAAATTGTAAAATTATTTTAAAATTGTAATATTAAAAGTGGTACTAGAATGCTACTTTCGCATACTTTTCATTCCACTTGCCATTTTGTTTACGAATCTTATTGCAAAAATCTAAGTTTTTGAAAAAATAAAACTAAACTATAAGAAAAGATAAAATATTTTTTAATTAACTTTTAATATTAAAAGTTAAATTTACTTTTTATATTAAAAAGTTAAATTTTTCATGATAATCGTTATTAATTAATGACGATAATTATAATCGTTTATTATGTTTTGATAATCGTGAACAATTATTGATTTGTAAAAATTGTAGTTGCTAATAAGTAATTGTATAAAATACTTGACATTGCAAATTACATTACATTACAAAATTTTAAAAAGTATTTTGAAATTAGTAATATATGTTCGGACCTTACCGGTTAATTGCACCAATAAAAGTGCATAATTTTTTATTCAATTTAGAGGTAAATCAGTTGTTTAATGAATCGGGTGAATTTTGTAAACTAAAAAAAGATTTTAAAGTAGTTAAAAAAATTTTTTTTTACGAAAAACGAATATCCACAGTTTAACAATCAGCGCAAAAAAGAGGTTACGATTGCAGTCACATCTTTGACTGTGGTTGCTTTGTGACTGGTGTGAAAGATTTTTTTTAATACAAAAGTGGAATTTATCTTTGTATTAAGATAATTAAGTGCAAAACATTTTAACAAGAATTTAACTTAGCACTTTCTTTTAGAAAACATACAATATGTGGACTTGTAATATTATCTATAGAGAAAAAGTGAAAATTCGACATAAAAAATTGCATGACACAATTGAATTAAAGAAAAATTCTTAGATTGAAAACTACCCAGAGTGGTATTAAGTAAATCTTTCGCATAGAATATACCATAAGATATAACACATGTTTTGCTTTATAAAATTTTAGATGTGTGTCGGTTTTTTTTTTGTTAATACAGGTGTTAAAAATAGTCGAAAGACAAAGATAGGCAAACCAAAACTGTCATCAAACCTAGCAATAGTGAAGGACTTTAACCCTACCTAAAACGCATCTGGATAACTCCTAAAACTAGTCTTCTAAAACTGGTGGAAACGCACCTCATAAACTCCTAAAACTAGTCAAACTAATTAATCATTAGTTTTGCTCTATCGTGTTTTTGTGCGTATACTCCGTGAAGGAAGGCACGGAAGTGCTGTCACAGCACTGTATGCTAATTCGAGAGGTCTCGTTTGCTTCAGTCTTTTTTTTTCTAAACTCGCTCCCCTACAAGTCGAGAGGCTTCGACATTTCCATGCTGTTCCAAACGCCCCATATGTTTCATGCCACATTTTCCAGTTCCTTATTTCCTCACCAGGGAGAACCCACCATATTATGAAGGACTTGTTCTGGAATGTTTGTATTTGTTTGATTTGGGTTTGCTTGGAATAACCCCATAACAACTCTCCCTTTTTATTGAAAAGAAAACTTCCTTTTATTCGGAATAAAATACTTTTTTTTTTTTTTTTTGCTAATATATTTCGTGCGCTACATACGCACTTTATCAAAGCTGATTTTCTTCTATATTACCTTTAAGATAATAATTAAGACAACAAATAATAAAAATTGAAATCTAATAAAATTAGGAATATTATGCCTGACTTAATATAATCTAACTGACTTAATCTAGAATTTGATTATTTATTTTTTTTTTGTTATTATTTACAAACTAAATTTATACCCGTTTTAAACCTTAAAACTGGTCAAATAATTAATTTAAAGAGCCAAGTAGCCGCGTTACCTTCGTCCGTGTTCAGTAGGCAGTCCTTGTTTGATTTGTATATCTGCATGCTTTCATAAACTTCTCTCCTGTGTTTTCCTTTTACCTCTTTTAGTACCTTTAAGTTATCTTCCGTGATTGTGTGATCCGTTTCATAAATGTGTTTTGCAACCATAGAATCGAAAATCCGGTTAAATCCTACTCTCCTTGCACGTTTTATTTCACTTAAATGTTCCTTAAGTCTTGTTGTAACGGGTCTCTTCGTTTGTCCTATGTAAAATTTATTGCAATTATTACAATTGATTTTGTACACACCGCATCTTTCATGTATCTTCAATTTATCCTTAGCCGAATTTAACAAACTCCTAAGTTGATATTTACTATTGGCTTCCGCTGTCCGAATATTGTGTTTCCTTAGTTGTTTATTTATCAAGTTTGTACAGTGATGATCATAACTTAAAGATGTCCATGTTGTTCTTTGTTCTTCCAATATCCTGTTCTGTTTAAACAATGTGCTCATATTCTCCTGCTCAATTTTTCGTTTTTTCTTCCTAATGAGTTTGTTAATACGTTCAGTAGAATAACCGTTCTTCACAGCCGTGTCCAAAATTAAGTTTACTTCTGATGTATAGTCGTGTCTGTTCATCGGTGTGGTTAGCATTCTATGGATCATAGAGTTGAACGCCGCCATTTTATGTTTCGTTGAATGGTACGAATCCTTTGGAATGCATTTTTGTGTTGTTGTTTTCTTCCTATATATCTTGAATCCAATTTTTTTAGATTTTCTTTTCACCAGTATGTCCAAAAAAGGTAACAATCCATTTTCCTCAATTTCGAATGTAAATTCGATGTTTCTATGTAATTTGTTGATGCATCTGTTTATATTCTCCAGTTCTTCTTGTCCACTATCGCGAAGACGTCATCAACATACCGCATCCATACTCTAGGCATCAGAGAATCCTTCTACATTCTTTTTCCAATTTGGACATAAATAATTCTGCGATAAATGGTGAAAGTGGATTACCAATCGATGCTCCCGATGTTGTTCTGTACATCTCGTTTCTGAATTCGAAGTAATTCTCCTCCATGCAAAGTATACGTCCATATAGACTTATATGGACGTATACTTTGCATAGATATCCCATAGCAACCCATACGTCCATATAGACTTTATTATTTGGTTACATATCAATAGCTTACTGTATGTTGACAATCCAGACCCACGGCGTAGGAGCCAATAGTTTTCTTTTCATGTTTTTTCCATTTGAACTTGACATCCAAAGTCATACCTAACTATGTTTTTGATTGATACTTTAGCACCATTCAAACTCAATTGTTGTGGGTTCACCAAATGTTTCTTTGTGAAATTTACATGTATTTGTTCATTTACCTATATTGTTGCTTCCTGTAATTTTTTTCTCGATTCTTCAACATTTGATTCCAAATGCAGCCAAAGTTACACCCCCTAAATCTAGCAAGTCGCTTGTATAAAGCAGGTATAATATAGGACCCCGAATACTGCCTTGAGGCATACCAGCAGCGTTCCCGTTGGAGAATTTCAAATTATTTTCAGAAAAACTTTTATTTTCAAAAATGTATACAAAGATCACTTTCTGTAAGACATATGACGAGAAGCGATAGGATATTCAAATTTTCTCTATTTTTTTTTTGAAAATTTACTTTATCTACTTCAAAAATATGACTTTGCTCTGAAAACTTAAAAACTGTGGAAGAGCATTCTATTTTGTCTCGTCATACGTCTAACAGAAAGTGGGTATAAAATTATTACAATTAATTAAGTTATTAAAATAAACAAAAAAAAGAAACAAATTTCAACAACAAAAGAATAAAATTTAAAAAAAAAACG